CTTGGCCTGGAAGTGGCAGGCACTGACACTGAGTCTGCTTTGTGCCGGGAATGTCCTGTGTGTGCTCTTGAGGGGCCACCCTACCATGTCAGATGAAGGGAAGATGGCCAGAGGCTGGGGAACCAAGGGATGTACCAAGGCTGGACCCAGAGGGGCCCCGAGGGTAGGACCACAATAACCAAGGGGCCAGCCAGGTATTGGTTCCCTCACTGGAGAGATCCAAGAGGGTTGCTGGTTTATCTTTGGACTTTGCATTCATTCGTATGACACCCATGATGTCTGAGTCAGGTGACCGAAATACCCAACAACAACAGCTTACTGAAGGAGACTCACTTTTGCTCACAGTCTAGAGCGTCTCAGTCCACTATGGCGGGGAAGGCAGGGCAGAGCTGATGCTGAGCTTGTGGTAGATGCGTCTTACATGGCAGACACAGGGACCAGGGCCTGGGCCGGGCTCTCAAAGACCCACCCTAGTAACCCATCTCTGCCGGCTAAGTTCCTGTCTCTTAAAGGTCACGGCTGGGGAACCAGCCTTGGAAACACGAGCTCACGGGTGACACTTTCATTCAAACTCTGGCACCGATGCTGGTGGTTTTCGGAGGTGGGGCTATTGGGAGGCAACCAGAATTGGATGAGGGCACTGGGGCAGGACCCCATGACAACACTGGTGGGGCTTTGTAAAAAGACCTGAGCTGACATAATGCTTGCTTGCCTTGAGGTGTGGGGCCCTTTCACTCATGGGAGGTGCCATGCTCTTGGATTCTGCAGCCTCCAGGGCTCTGAGGCAAATAAACTCGCATTATTGTTCCTTCCTTCCTTCCTTTCTTTAAAATTTCTTTTCAAAGACAGAACAAGGGTAATTTTATTGGGATTCGAAAGACAAAACGATGGGGGGGGGATGGGAGAGCTCGGCAGGAGGAGAAGGATGGAGAAAGGGAGGAAGGGTGTGTTCTCTCGGGGTGCGGATGCAGCGAGCAGGTGCGTGGACGAGGGAGAGAGAGAGGGAGAGAGGAAGACTATGTCCCCCGCGTCGGGGCAGATGGGCTCAGAGTTTCGGCCAGTGTTTGGAGAAAGGAGACGGAAGGATGGGGAGAGAATAGAACTTTCGGGAGTTAGAATTCAGGAGGTGGGCTTGCTTGTTAGTGAACTGGCAGGAGGCTGCCAACCTCTGTTCTCTGTGGATCACCTAGCTGCACGCATCTCGTTACAGCGACCAAAAGCAGACCAAGATGTGTGGCCTTCGGCAGCGTGTTGGGTGACCGAGCGGTTACGCTCGGTGAGGCCACAGTGAAGAAAACCATCCTAGCCCTGGCTGGATTGCAGGTGGGAGGTGAGGGGATGGCCTCCATCCTTTCTTCATGCTCTCCCTTGCCCCAACCCTACTGAGCAGAACCTAGTCAACTCGCAGGTTCCTGCACGCCGGAAACAGGGGAGACTGGCTGCGTGTGTGGCGGAAGTTCAAGAGAGGCATGCTATCAGACTGGATAAGACGGGCACAACCCCACGGAGCTACCCACGCGTGTCTCTGGGAAGCTGAACGCACACCGTTTGGCAGAGCAGGGGGCGGTCTGTTAAGACCCCCATCCAGCAAGGGGACAGTTTAGGAACTGAGATGTCTTGGTGCCGGACACACTCAGGGTGGCCAGTGTGTTCTGAGCGCGGGCCCTTGAGCTCACCACCTTGTGGAGGGTGCAGAGGCCTGGCAGCTGCTCAGAGCAGACAGAGCTCAGGCTGAAGGAAAACCGTGAGCCAACTCATAGAGAACGGATGGAGACCAGAAGGGTTCCCGCCTGATTCAGGCACGGGCTCTCCTTTGTTCTTTTGCCTCCTTGGCTCTGGATGAGCCAGAAGAGCTCACCCCAGTGATACCTAGGACCTGACTCTTGACAGACCAACTCTAAAGATAAGCCACGCCCAGTACCTTATCTCTTGGGACCTTGGACCTCCCCCTGGATACCTGGTGAGACTCATAGCACAGAAGTGAGGGTTTCTGGCACCAGCAGTTGGCTGGAGCCTGCGTGTTTGCTACCCAGTCCTGGCAGAACAAGATTCTTCACTAGCTAGGAGGCCAGGGTGTGTCTCTCCTTGCCACTCTATGCCTCAGTTTCCCCTGTAGGGTTAATACATCTATCCCATAGAGTTACTCCTAGGACGGGGATGTGGAGTCGGGTGAGCAGTACAGTCCCAGTGAGGACTCTTCCCCTCATCGCACCCAGAGCCCTGGCCGGCTCCCTGCCTCCCCCTCTAAACACATGGGCATGAACAGCGGTACTTTTGAGCTGGGACTTCCCCAGGTCAGGCTGACTGGAGTCCCTGAGAATTTAGTACGGTTAGTGATATTCCTCCCAAACCCGATCCTGTGACTTTGACACGCCACCGGGGTATCTAGAAATGTCAGCGATGCCTCACCAGTGGCCCTTCCCAGAGGGCGGTCATTGTGTCCTTGGGGTTACGGGTTTCCTCCAGCCTGGACAGTCATGGTGTGAGCCCAGACAAAGTAAGTGTCAGGCCATGTGGTCCTCCCCACTCCATGCTGCCTCTGTCGGCCTTGGAGAAAGGTGAGTCTCTGTCCTCTGGGGAAGGGGATGCTGGCTGTTGGGTGGTCAAGACTCTTGTAAGATTGGGTGTGATCATCCTTACAAGGTGAGAGAGACTTCCTGGCTGCTGGGAGAGATGGCGAAGAGAGGCACAGTGTCTCTGGTCTGGACATTTCCAGTTCACCTTTCCAGACGCTGCCCGTAACAGCTGCTGCTCTGTCTCCTTACTCTAGAACAACTCTCTGGCTCTGGGGCCTTTGGTAACATAAAGGCCACCGAGAATTTAACCAAGGCACAAACTCACGTTCCTTCCAGCCAGAGTCCTCAGACACCGAAACTCGTCCCTCATCACTGTAAGGCCGGCAGAGGCTTCCCTTCCCGTTTGCCCAGTTGTGTTGCCGGGAGCCCACAAACACAGGGCAAGGGCTTCTCCCTCCTTGCCCTTCCCGGAAACAGCCGCATCAACACGGTGCCTGACATTTCCTCCCAGTCATTTGGGGTGAACGAAAGATGAAAAGACAAAGAAGCCAGCCCAGGAGTAGGGCATTTTCCGAGTTGGCCAGCACAGAGCTCTCCTCGGCTCTCCGGTTCCATAGCACACATGGCCTGAGTGTCACCGGTCCCCGAGGGTCACTGCTTTTATATACACGTCCCTTCCCCAGGCTCTATATCCAGGATTTCAGACTCTAGAAACGCATGACAACGGCTTCAAGCTTTCCCATGATACACCCCTTTCTCAGGCCTGGCTGGTGTAGCCAAGGGGCAAAAAGGGGCGAATCCATTTTAGAAGGGACTCTCTCTCAGGCTGCTTTCAGACAGGGTCCTGCTACAGCTCAGCATGTCAAGTACCACCAAGGCTGGTGGAGACACTGACAGCTTCCCTTGGGGAGGCTGCAGGCTGGGCCTGACCAACGGGACCCCAAGAGTCAAGTACACTTTGGGGACTCCACACTGGCAGATCCCAAGGCCAGGACTCCAGTAGCTGTATGCTAGTCTGGGCTCTGCAGAACATGTTGTCTACCAAGTAAGGAGCAGGTGGATGGATGGGGCCCTGCACATACACAGGTCCCCAAGCCCTGCAACCCTGGGCTGGGGTGTTGCTTTAAGCACAGAGTAGAAGCTCATTCTTGGCACTGAAGGGGACTGGGGGCTGGAGTTTCTGAGGGGGAGGAGAAATTGCAAAGGAAGAAGAAACCCAGAAGTGACAGATAGTGGGACAGCTGTGGATTGAACTCGGTGTTCCTGCTCATGTAGATGTATTAATTTCCACAAATGCTAACAGCCCATCTCTCCAAGAGCTATTACTTATGTCATCTCCCCTTGGATGTGGTTCAACACAGGGCAGACAAATGGGATGGAGCGATAGGCAGCCACCACCGGTGGGTCCTTGGCTCCCACCCCTCGCCCAGAGGGGCATCTCGGAGTCTGGTTTCTGATGTGGCCCTCACACCTTCGGGGTCCAGACCGCCTGCCTTTAAGATGGGTCCCTTTCACACCAGTAAGCAAAGAAAGTTACCAGTTACCCCCAAAAACGCTGACTCACAAAGTGAGACGGAGCAGTGAGGGAGGATGGGTCAGAAGGGGGACGGTGGCCCGTGGGCAGGCAGCAAAGGGTGCCGGAAGGCGTCGTGCAGGAGACCCCAGGACAAGTGCCAGGAGAAGCAAGCAGGGTGTGCCAGACGGGAGGGAGGGCAGGTGAGCAGGTGCACCTTGCTGCAGATACTGCAGCAGGCAAGCAGTGCAGCATTTGGGCTCCGCATCCTGCAGCAGAGGCAGCAGCAGCAGAAGCAATATAGCAGCAGGTAGGGAGGTGGGGGTGTGCAGGTGCCAGGGCCCGGGCCTGGGGGAGAAGCTGAGGGTAGCGGTAGAGAGGTCTAGAGACGGAGGCAGGGGGCGAGGTGCAGATGGCAACGAATGTCAAGGTGCTGGGGGAGCACCGCAAAATAGAGAGAGCAGCACTGCGGTGGTGGCGGTTAGTGGTGGTAGCGGCGCCGGCGGGGATCGAAGGGGCTGGGAGCAGAATGGGTGGGGAGTTGGGGTCAAGGCGAAAGGGACACCCGGCAGGCTGCCAAGGACGAAGGATGAGTCTAGAGGAGCAACAAGGAGAGGGGGTGGAGAAAGACAGCTACCAGGAGTGCGCAGAGGCCGGGAGAGAGGATGAGAAGCAGGGAGGCAAGGGCGAGGTGAGGATGCCGGGCGGGAGCGGGTAGAACCGGGGATGAAGTTTGGGGCTGGGGGTCCGGGATGTCGGCTGAAAGGTGGGGCAGGATGACAGGAAAGCAGAGAGGGTGGGGTGGGGGCAGGGAGACATTGGAGAAGGAGATGGGGAGGCTGGAGAGGAGGTGAGAACCGCGGCGGGGGCAGGGATGCAGGGCTAGGGCAAGAGGAGATGGAGAGGGACCGCGGTACCCGCGACTGCGCGGCTTCGCAGGTGCCCGCCCGGGGTCTCCCGGCTGCACTCACCTGGGGGCCTCCAGCTCCGGATCCCGCGTCCCGCTCCGGATCTTCCTTCCCGCCCTGCCCTGGCGACTTCAGCGCCCCCGAATCCCGCTCGCTCCCGCAGGTTCCGCCCGCAGCATCTTTACCTCGTGGGACGCCCGAGGCCACGCCCCTAGCAGCCTATCATTGGCCAGGTCTCACGCCAGTCACCGTCTCATTGGCGGAGGCCGTGGAAGCCCATGCAAATCAAGCTGCTCCCGCCGACGCGCCGATTGGCTGGAGCGCGCGGAGTCCGGACTCGGGCTCCCATTGGCCGCGCGCGGCCTCGACGCAAGAAAAGTGACCCGAGGCGGGGGTCCATGCTGAGTGCGCGGAGTGCCGCAGGTTAGGCTCCTCGCGTGGGTGGCTGCGGCTAGGGAGACCCTCTTGGCGGGCGCTGGACCCACGAGACCTTGGGTTCCGCTGGGCACCGGCCGCCCTATCGCTGGATCCACAGTGCGGGACGTCCTCGGCAGCGTGGATCCGGTGCCTGTCTCCTAGGTAACGCGCCAGCGGCGGACCGCACCAAGTGCGGGGGGAGGTTTGCGTGGTTTGGAAGCGCGGGTGGCAGCGGAGCTCGAAGAGGCCTCAGGGTCCCGTGTGGGGATGTACATATTGCATCTCGCCGGCGACATGGTGGTGTTTGCAAGGCATGGCGCGGAACACGGGGCTGGGCCTGTGTCGCCCGGGTCTCACTGTCTCCCCCTCTTTCGTCGCCATTGGTGCATCCCGGTTGCCTTCAGAAGTTGGGCGTCGGGGTCTCCTTCGGTTTGTCCTCCGCCTTCTGACCGGGTTCCCGCAGCAGTCCCGGTGCCGGAAACGGATGCAATGCGCTCGCCAGAGCCTCGGGAGATGCCCACGGCCTGGTTGCGCGCATCTTTCCCAGCCCTAGTACGTGTAGCTCGCCCAGGCTCATGCGGCCCTGGATGCGCTCGCTGTGAGGCCCCTGGCCCTATCCCTGTCTAGCGGGGTCGATCTCCCTTTCTTCGTTGCTTGGGATTGCAACCTACACTGTTGTCCTGGTTCCTGGTTTGCCTAGTCTGACCTTGGTTCCGGGGAGCTTGCCCTGAAGCCAGCTTTGCGGGTTTACGAAATGGGCAAGCTCTCCCAGTTCCAACCCTGGTCGCCTTAGCGGTTCAGCTGTGTAGCCTCCACGGGGCCCAAACTGCCCTGGCACCATCTCGTTCTTGCATTTGTACCCAGGGATCTTCGAGACTATTTACTTTGGTGAAGACCACGCCTTTAGTCCCATAGCAGAGTGTGAATGAGGGCATACCAGGCAGCCCTTAATCAGGCTTACAGGAAAACCCTCCATCCCCTCCCCCCCATGAGGGTAACTCTTAGTTCTTCATTCCTGGGGCACAGACCTCCCCGAGTCTGGCACCACTATTTGTTAAATTTCAGCCTCTGGTTTCCTCCCTTGTCACCCTACGTATGAGTCTTGGTCATGATCTGTGCTGTGGGGCGCACCCACGTGTCCCCTGTTTGCCCCTGCCTCCCTCCAGTTAAATATTGCTGGAGACAGCGTTTGTCTCTTTGCCTCTGGAATACACGGGTGTCTGTCAAACATTTATTGGCTGGTCCTGCAAAAATGAAGACCCTAAGGACCCCTTCCCTCCCCCCCCTCGCCCAAGCTGTTGTCTTGTACATTGGAAGCACTTGGAAGGGAGGATGAGGACCTTGGTTGAGGGGAGAGAAAAAAAAAAGCTGGCCCTCATCTTTGGACATCTCCACCAGGAGGGATCTCACTGCCGCCTCCCGGGGACATCTTGCCCCCCCCCTCCTTGGCTTCCCAAGTGGGAGGAGGAGAGTGGTATGGGTGTGAGCTAGTCCCTGTTAGCTGTGGACTCACCTGTCTGAGCCGGTCGCCTCCTGTGGAGGGTGGGCTGTGATGGCGCCCCCTTCCAGTTTGTTGGAGCAGTACACCGGGAGTGCTGTGTCTGTCTGAGCTCAGGCTTCAGTAGGAGCTGGCCCGTCTTCTCCTTCCTGTCCTCCGTAGAGAGCCCCCGGGGTCCCTTTCCTTGGGTTCAAAGCATGGATCTGCCTAAGGTTTATTCTTCCTAGTGGCCCTTTTGATCTTTCCTCCAGACCCTTCTGTTACTGAGTCTGTAGGACATGAGCCTGGCTCTGGCAAGCCCAGGGTGTGATCTTTGCCGCCTGTCCTCTGTAAGCTGGTTAAACAGCCGACCAGGAAAAGAGGGGAAAGGAGATTTACTCAGTTTGGCCACACTGGGAGGAGGAGCATAAAGCCGAACCAGGCTTTTTTTTTTTTGACCCACCAACCAGCTCCCAAATCATGAAATGGAGACTTCTTATTAGGTGTGAATGCTTGGCCTAGCTTAGGCTCTTTTCTGGCTAGCTCTTTTAACTTAAATTACCCTGGTTCTTTTCATCTACGGTTTTGCCTCAGGGAATTTTTACCTTTCTTTCTGTATGATCTATTCCGTGTCTGCCTGGTGACTGGCTGGCTTCTGGTCCCAGCCTGTCTCTCCCTCCCTCATTTTTCATGTTCTTTGAGTGTGGATTTCTCCTGGTGCTTAATTCTCTCTGCCTTCCTGCCCGACCTGTCCCTCTTCTGCCTAGCTATTGGCCGTTCAGCCGTTTTTTTAAGACCCATCAGGTCTAATAAATAGGCAGGTGAGGTGTAATAAATGCAACACTCTTTACGTAATTAAACAGATGCAGCACCAACACACACAACTCAGCTTTACACTATTAACAAAGGCAGCAGAACCAAGCCTAACACATCTCCATAAAGTAATAGTCCCTCAGGGGCGTAAACGAATGTGACACTTCTTTGCCTAGTTATAACATTCCACACGAGTACCCCCAAGTCCATCTCAGGAACACCAGCGTGAAGTTGAGGCACAGACGAGGCAGGAGGTATGCATAACTCAGTATTCCTGGACAGGGCGTGGTCCTGCCCGTCACTGACCCTCTGCTCCAGTTTCCCTGCCAGGGTGGTCAGGACTGTGTGAAGTCTTCCCGAGTCCCTGCTTTCTCTGGCACCAAGGCTTTGACCTTCTCTCCTCCCAGCATGGGGATTCCTGGGGAGATTTTGCTTCCTTGGGGTTATAAAGTGTCTCTTTAGAATGCTTTCTCTGCGGGAGAGGTTATATTTCTTTCAGTTACTGACAGAGTCTTTCCAAGGACTAGCGCTGACTCAGGGAACTCACAGTCTCCCAGGACTGCACTGACCACACAGCCCTGGATAATGTTTCTACAGAGGGCTGCGGGGAGCTGGGCCCTTCAGATCTCCAGTGTGAGCCTGACAGGCAGTTGGGAGAGCGGGGGCCAGGCAGACCCTGGAAGGGTAGGCTGGCGCTCGAGTGCTTCTCAAGGCTTGGGGGGAGGCGAGGACACTGGCCTGAGGAGGGTCAGGGGCAGTGTGGGGTCTTGGGTCAGGAGGATTCCCCTCCCCACTAATGCTCACGGTGCTGCCGGATAATGGGTCCTCCATGAGTCCATGCCCGTTTGATCTGGAGAACAGTGAACAAGAAAAAGACCAGCCTGGCTTCCCTCCACCCCAGCACCACTCGGCTCTGTGACTTTTCCCCAGTTCTCCCGTGGAATGACTGCCAAGGCCGTGGGAAGGACATTTGCCATATGCCAGGAGCTGGCCAGGTAGCAATCACCACAAGAGAGGCTGCCAGGGCCGTGAGCAGCAGAAACACAGGGACTGTGCAAGCCTGGGTCTGGACCCATCCAGGAGCCCTCACTTCCTGTAGGAGGTAGCCTTGGAGTGAGCGTTGGCCACGACTCTTTCACCAGTAGGCAGCTAACTCTATGAGCTTTCCATGGCTGCTGTCACCACATGCCACGGACTCAGTGTCTGGGAACAACACCCACCGACTCTTTTTTCAGTTTTGACCATCAGGCATACAGAATCTGTCTCACTGAGCAGAGATCAGGGTATGGGTGGGGCAGTTCCTCTGGGCGCCCCCCCCTTGCTGAGAATGTCATTTCTAGCTCCTGGAGGCACCTGCGTCTCTTGTTACCTGGCTTTTACTTCCTCTAGAGGCCTTGGCTTGCTGCGGTCCCCTGTTCTTTGTAAGCCTTCTTAGCTGTCTCTCACAGGGACCTGTGTATGCTCCAGGCTCTCCGGGTGTTCCGGTACAATCTCCTCGCTCCTGTGCAGAATCCTGTTTGCCGTGAAGAGTCACCTGTTCCCAGATTTCAGCACTAGGGTGAGGATGTCGGAGACCGTGTTATTCAGCTTGCCAGGGAACCTGACTCAGGAAGGGGCAGGAGCTTCCCGGAGCCCTTGTTAGCGTGTGCCACTCAGCCCAGTGGATATGGGGGGCACTGCTTCCTCGCTGCTGACTTCAGCCACCCCCACCTTGGTTCTTTTAGGCTGCCAGCTTCTGCACCAGGATCTCCCTGAGGTAGCTGAGTGTCTCCCGGGGTCCAGGGCTGGGAAGTCTTGGGCGGCTTCAGGCTGTAAAGGAGTGCCAGTCCAGACTGAGTCTCTCCGGGGAAACTTGGCCTATGGCGCTGTGTGGGCATCACGCGTTTCCCTTTGAGCAGCTACTACAGGCCTCTGACTGTTTTTGTTTTGTTTTGTTGTTGTTGTTGTTTTTTTTTTTTTTTTTACGAAGAACAGGAAAGAGTGGCATCCTGGTAGCCAACCACATCCTCATGGAAACAGAGCCCCGTGGGTGGCTTTGGACCACCGAGGGGGTGCCTGGTTTGTAGGTGTGTTCCAGGGAAGACTAGGATGTAGCCAGGGACCCCCAAGGTGCGTGCGTGCGTGCGTGCGTGCGCAAACCCCATCACACGACAGCACACAGAAAAACTTGGACCCTGAGGAGGAGGGGGGCGGCCTCGGGCCTGTGCCAGCGTCTTCATCAGCTCAGTAGGACACAGAGTGTTCTGGGCCTCTGCGCCTCCCTCATCCGATGTCTGGGCTGAAGCCTTCGTAGGAAGTCCAACCCCACTGGGTTCGAGGAGGGCCTCGTGACAGGTGTGGTTCTTGCATGCTCTCCTCCCCTCCCTGGCAGTAGTTGTTTTTGTGTTGAGACAGGGTCTCTTTTTACAGCTGTGGCTAGCCTGGGCCAGCTGTGTAGACCAGGCAGGCCTAGAACTTGCGCCGATTCTCCTGCCGTCTCCCAGTTGCCGGTATTTACA